GATTTAAGATTAAAGGGCAATATTGTTTCAAGTATAATTAATGAATCATTTATTTTTTTGAACTAATATCTGTAAACACTGCATTTTTTGTTGTTTAAAATATTATAGAAGATCGAAAAGCTTAAACTGTTGTCCTAAATTAATCTTTCTCATATCATATGTTTTTTTAAATTTAAATATTTTTGTAAATTTTTTAGTTTAGGGATAGAAAAGTATTACTATTTGTTAGTCAGTTTATTTTTCTTGTCCAAACAACAATTTTATCCAGTAATCTGTGATAATACAATCTAGTTGCTATGTATATAAAATTTAACTTTAATTATTCACGGCACTTAATCAGAGGAAGGGAAAGTTGAATGAGAAAATATAATAAAAATATAAAGGCCAGTTTCAGATTTGTTAGATTATGGCAAGATATATATACTAGGGCGAGGCCCGGTGGCGCAGTGGTTAGCGTATCGGGCAGCAGCACCACAGGTCCGGGGTTCGATTCCTAGGCGGGACAAGGTCGACTCAGCCTTTCATCCCTTGATTTTCCATTTCCGATCGATAAATACCAAGTTCGCTTGGGAACTAAACTCTGGGAGTCCTGCGACAAGCTGATCACTTGTTAACGCCATATGCTTACGCAGCCCGGGCCCACGGTCAAGAAAGCAGATTTCTGGGCACTGCAGGCATTGGCCCAGTAGGGCTGTTACGCCGCTGAGATTTAGTTCTTATATATACTAGGGCTATTTGCTTATTAGGCACACAATCCTAATGTGCATCACAAATAAACAAATAATGGTTACCGTAATTGATAAATTGTTATAAACACGTATTTATTTTGATGTCTATCAATTTCAGGTAGGCTATTAATAAAATATTTGTCATTTGGAAGTTCTTTTTATTATTATCTATAAATAAGCGGATTATATCCTAATGACTATTTCTCTGAGAAAAGTGCTTCCGAGGGTGATCAGTATAGCTGAGAACGTAAATGAATATTAGTAACAACAGTTATAATTTCTCTAAGATTACCACTCCATTATGCAGCTAAGATCATCAAATACATATTCAGGCTGCTATTAAAATGTTAAATATTGCTTTAAAAATCAAGTTAAAGATTTACATTTTCAATTTTTATAAGAGCAGAACTATCGTTATGATAAACAAGTTAGCTATTATTTCTAAATCATTAATGTTTTTTTTTTCCTTAGCGTGATGTAGGTTTTATTCGGCAGCTATACACTACAATCTTTAAATGTTCAAACTATTTATTCTATGTCTTTATTTCCACGTTTGCGCATGTGGTAATCTTTAAGAAGTTTCAAACAATGCAAAGACAATTAATTTCTGTTTCTTACATTCTTTCAAATAATCTTATCTAATTCGAAGCTGATTATTCAATGAATATATGACTGTGATATTTTTCTACCTTTCATAAATATTAAATGATTTATTGTAGATTAAGATGTAGATAAAAAAGAGTAAAAACATGTTATTCAGAAAATATGATTCAAACGATTCTGTGATACTGTCGGTACTCTCTTTCAAAAGCAAATACACACAAAAGCGTAAATTTGATAATGTGTCTTTATTAAATTGCTAAATGAAATTGATAAAGTTAGATTTTTGTTATGCTCCTTTGCTAGGATATTAGAAACAATATATTCGGTAAGCTAACATAAAGGATTTAGTCTAATTTAGTAAATAATGAAAAGCTTGTTTTACTTTATAAAGTTCAGACTTTTACAGAATGAGAAATGATAATTCAGTGAAGAGTGTAAATTAGGTATTTAAGTTAATGAATATTTTAATAAGTATTTATATTTTAATAAGTAATAATTTTAATAAGTATTTTTTATGAATTATTAAACAAAATGTTTAATGCGATATTTTTTGCCCTAACATATGACTGTTTAACATATTATTGCCTTTCATAAGTTAACATATTTCTTAATTTAATAACAATAATTGTTACAATATATAAATTAATAATTAAAATATTGTTATAGCATTTCAGTATTTCTTAAGTTTTATCGTTTGTTTCGTTATTTTATACTTATTTTTGTAATTAATTTTATAAACACAGAATTATTAGTAAATCAGTAAAACGCATAAGCTAAATCCATTTTGATAACAGAAAATTCCACTCACCCAATGTTCAACTACTCTAACAATTTCCACAGAAGACCAGAATAGTTTAGAACCGTTGGTCTCATCTTGAGGGAGCTCACTAAATTATTTTTACTGTTGCTACTATCCACAAATATTTTAGATAAAAAATAAATCATATTTAGTCTGATTAAAAAGCTACCAGGAAAGAAAGTAGGTTTTGTACAAAATAATATTTGGCAACAAAAATAATAAAAAAAAGTGATATATTTCATTAAAAGATACTTATTCCGCGTTCAATATCGGCAATAAAATTAAAAGTTGTCATTAGAGCGTTACATGAGATGATAGAAAACAGAATAGTTTAGTAAGTTATGCAGAAAAAATTGAAAAAAATTGAAAAACATAACATCTTAAATGTTACAAACATAACATGTTACAACTTTTAAAGCCTGAAAAACGCATGTCTGCGATGTTATCGTCATGCGATGATTTGTAGGTACTTGTTTTTTACCATGATATTTTTGACGACAATGTTTTTAAACTGCGAAGTTTTTAATTAGCTTTATTTTCGAAGCCGATGTTGTGTCCTCCAATGTTTTTTAGAACTGCGATGTTTTCTCCTACGATGTTTTGCAGTTTTCGCCTGATGTTGTTTTCTTCCCGACGTTTTCGTCTGCGCTATGTTTTTTTGCTGCGATGTTTTATCCTGTAACCCTTTAAAACCATTTATTTTCTTACTTTCTTCGGGTGAAAGTAGACTAAGTCATATAAATTTGCCAATTTTTAAAAGTTTTACGTATCATGAACCATTATTGTTTTTGAAAAAGATCTTTAGAAAGGTTAGGAACAATACTGCTTCTTGAAAATTTTCTTTGCGGAGATTGCCTTATACAAATTTCTGTTTCCAATATTTTTACAAAAATGTGTTAAAGGAAACTCATCATAGTTTGAAGGATGATCATAATGGATTCATTTCTTAAATCAGATCACTGGGTACATTCAGTCGTTCAAGAAGCATTTAATTGCATAATAATTTTGAAACTCTCTATATAAATGTAAAGCAAATGTAATAAAAATACGAGTAGATGGGGAAAATATATAACAATAAGGTGACTTACTGATTTGCAAGTACAGAGTAGTTAACAAACAGTTAGATTTTATTTACATGTAGGGTGAACGAATCAGTAGATTTAAAGTTTGTAAAGTAACTTTGTAAGGTAACAAATATCGAGAGTTGCAGGCTAAAAATCTGAAGAGAATTATTTAGTTTCATATATTTGGTTTCAGAAATACACTCTGTAACAAAAAGATCGACTCACCAAGAAGGAGTTGTCCGATGGAGACAAAAATTGGTGGATAGAAAGATTACCTACAGAATAGAAACTGCTTAACACTTCAGAACAATCGAATGATTTATTTCAGAATTACACAGTTATAAAGAATGAGCTCAATAAGGTGTTGACCCACTTCTAGCCTGGATTGAAGCTGCCACACGGTGTGGCATAGAATAATAAAACTAACGGATGGTCTCCTGCGGTATTTTTTGCCAAATTTGCTCCAGTTGTTGGGCTAGGTCATCAAAATTCTCAGGTAGATGCAGTTGCCTTTCTATCATATCCCAGACATGCTCGATGGGAGGGAGATCTGGCTGGGAAAGGTAGTGTTTGTTAAAACAGTTCATAGCAATACATACCGTACGTTGTATGGCATTATCTTGCTGAAAAATAAGACCAGGGTACTGCAAAAGGAACGGTTGCAAAACAGGTCTCAGAATGTCGTCAACGTATAGCTGTGCTTTAAGTGTGCCTCTAATGACGACCAAAGGAGTCTGGCTATCAAAGGAAATGGCACCATAACTCCTAGTTGAGAGCCTGTATGGCGTGCAGTATTGAAAGCAAAAGCAGGAACAGCACGTTGCTCTGGGCCTCTCCAGACACGTCTTCAATAATCGTCGCGACACTGTTGGAAACAGGATTCGTCGCTAAAGACTATACGTACCCAGTCAGCATCATTCCAACCTGATCCAAGCACCACTGTAATCTGGCTCGACAGTGTGTAGGCGCGAGTGGCAGGTGGCGTAACGGTCGGTACGAGCGTAGATTTCTCTCTATCAGCCATCTGTGAATGGTCATAGTGGGCACTAGTGTGCGGGTCGGCACGTCTGATGGTTGATAGCGATGAATCGGGCGCTGCGACAGCTGATCTGACAATCACTCTGTCCTCCCGATCTGTTGTGGACCTAGATAGACCGCTACCATCATGGCTCTGAAATCTGCCGTTGTCCACCCATTCTAGCCAGCATCTTCTAATCGCGGCATAGTTTCAACTCATACGACGAGCGATTCTCCGATTTACCCAACCTGCCTCTTTCAATCCAATGATACGACATTATTCAAACTCTACAGACAGTTGCTCGTGATGAGCTCAAAGCATTTTTTCAGTCGTTGAAAGTTATGCTAAATCGCAATGCAATAAAAGTTTTAACAACAGTTCAAGAACAACTCCTTATATACATATGTTGGATGCGTAGTTCCATTGCACTGGAGCTCGCACTATTTATTCATTGAACATCAAATTTTAATCATTTGCATATTTGGTAAAAACATTTACGCATACGCAATTTCAAAGCAATCGTATAATTTCTTCTTAGTGCGTTGAGTTTTTTGTTATAGGGTTTATTTGGAAAAATGGTGACATCTATTAGTCAAAAGAGAATAACATTTCTTTACATTTTAGAGCAAGAACATGATTCCAGGATTCGTTATGTATATAAATACAAGCAGTTTTTAATGTAAAATATAAAATGACTCGTATGTATAAGAACGCAAATGGTAATATACGTATGTACGATCTATGAAAAAAATGATGGTTGTGAAAATTGAGAAGCTATATTTACTTACAACATCTCCAGCCTTTGGTTTTCTTGGTTTCATCTTTATTGTTACTGAAGCTGGAGTAACTGAAAATATAAAAAGAGATTAATGCAGAAGAACAGTTTTGTTTGAATTAAGTTAACTTAAGTGACTTTTATGTAAAGCAAATAATACTTAAATCTCAATATTAATATTCATATGCTTGCGCGACGATTCTAAAAATATAACGAAAAATTAGAACTTTAAGAAGTGTTCTTTGAAAGTCCAATTCAATTTAAAACAAATGTTTTTGATGAAAAGTAGGGATGAATGTTACGTATAAAGAAATTTGACAAGCTAGAGGAATGAAGACATCGATTAAACAAAGGGTGCTTATGAGAAAAATCCTAATAATTAATCAATTCCTAATAATGCTAATAATTAACGAATCCTAATAATTAAAATTAAGTAAAATAAAAAAGAATGGCAAATAAATGTTAAAAGTGCAATAAAATACAAGAATTAAATTGAAGTAATTGACAAATAAATAAACAAGTAATAAAATTAAAGGAAAGTAGATGATAAATATGTACTTAAACAAATGAATGATTGAATAATAAAATACACATACAGTAATAAAATGAAGTGAAACAACGAGGAGGAAAAATAAAGAGAAAGCAACTTTATACCAACGATAAGAGACACATAAAATACTTTTGATATTGTTCTTCATGTTATTGAATATTAATTCGATAGCTGGTTAATTCATATTTACACTTGCAAGAATATTTATCCAATCGTCTTACATATATGCATCTTGAAATGCTTCTAAGTAATTAAGGTATCAGAAGAAGAATACAGGTACGCAGTTGTAAGGTTTTGAGTTTATAAATCCATTACCTTATTATCTTTACAAACACTTCTAATTTCACCAGCTTCCACCAGAATATGAATCAGTTAACCTACGTAAGAAACGTTTAAGGAGTTGGCAGCCCCCGTTGATTCTCCTTACTATTTATGTCCAGCTCTTAGATTACCTGGATTGGCGTTAGAAATTTACCAACAGTATTTTCTCGTGTGATTAGAGGGCCTAAGCCGATGCTTACGATCGGACTTTGGCTTGTGAGCTTTATAAATTAATTACTTAAGTTAACGTTTTATTTTAACTTGAATCCCATAAGCTGTAGTAATTTATTTTGTATCCAATGAGCTGTGTAACTGTTTAAATTATATTAAAAGGGGCTGTATGTTAATTCTTCTTCTTTCTTGTTTATTTTAAATCTTTTTCCGACTTTGTAGCTGTTCTTTTGGTAATCTAAGGCAAAGCGATAAGTCGCCTAACTGTTTACATGGAGCTGAGGTAAACACAGGTTCCATATAAAATGATAGATGGATTTAGGAACTAAATTACGAGAGCACCTTTTGACAATGTTTGGAATTTTGAAGCTTTGTATCCAAATCTTTTACTCGTTGGAAAGAAGAAAAAAAATTATTCGTAGTAACGTTGACCAGATATAAGATGTTACTAATCCTTCTAAATTGTAGCCGTTAAAACTACAATTCCACTTGAAATGAAGCAAGATTTTTTTAAGTGCGCGTAACCAGAAGCCTGGTCAATGACACTTTTAACCACAGGCAATAAAAAGTTAAGCCATGCCAATCGGTTACTCCAGAAAACGGCAGCTGAAATTTTAATAAACACATCAGAAGACAAGGGTTTGGAAGATAACTGAAAATTAAGAAAAACGAATCCTTGACATTTCTATGCTAGCACTCTGAAATATCTTAAATTATATACTAAAGGAAATATATGATGAATTATAGCCCTCCCTTGTGCGTGCTGTCGTGGTGTAAACGATAGCATGGACGTTATTGGAAAATCCGTAATCTAAATTCAGGCAAAGCAGCTTAGAGTTTTCATGTTTTAAGCTAACAAATTCTGCATATTCTACAAGAAGCTAACAAGTTCTACAGATATTTAGAAACATACTGTATTGATTAAGCGAAATAGTTACAATGCTATAGTTAACTGATTACAGAGCCTACTCAGATTGTATGAGATTTTTATGGTTTTATTCAATACATGACATGAATATGAGTCACTGTCCCTTTCACAATTCTCAATGATTTCTGAAAGTCATTATAAAATATTTTCATTGTGCCTACAGCTTTTTTCATGGATAAGGCAAGAGGGTTTCAACAGGGATTAAGTTAAGTTAATTAATAAGTGGAACTCTACACAGCGGTCCAGAGTATCAGACATAATTATGCTAAAAAGTGTACCAGAATTATTAGATATTTATGTCTTACTATAAATAAATGGGAATTTTCTCCCTTAACAACTCTCCACACAATTTTTCAAAATTTACTCTTTGATGTCTCATAAAACAAACAGTAGCATACTACAATATTTAACAAAGAACTTTTGCAATCAAAATCTACTAATATGATTATGATATTTTATTGCAATCAAACTGTACTAAATATTATGATATTTTATTGCAATCAAACTGTACTAAATATTATGATATTTTAATTTCTGTAAATACTTTGAATATATAAGTTACATGTGTATGCAAAATTACACGCAGCAGAATTTCTTAGTAAAACTTATTGGTATTTTGACTCCTTAATGGGAAGGCCAGTGATAATAACTTGGCTGCCGCTTGCCGATTGAAGAGAACACTCGAAATGCCACAAGATTTCCATGCCGAATTCCGCCTTATGGAAACAGAATTCGCAAGGGTTCATGGGATACAAATATCGCACCAGGACGATACCACTTGACGCATGGCAAAACCCGTCGTCTCATGAACTATCCTGTATGTTCAGATGTCTTAAATTGCGTGTTTCTGAAAAAATCTGCAGATATGCTAGGAAATTCTGAATGTCTGCATGAGAATATAGCCTGCAAGCTTTCCTTCCAAAAATAAGCCTCATGTTGGATGGAATGCGACAGTACCGATGCAGATATAGAATAAATAGGCCGGGATGATATACATCAGCCCCAATAACACCAGTGAACGAGAGGACAAACATCTCGCACACATAGCTATCGCAAGTTAAATAGTCACATCACAAACCTTAGCCTAAGAATTCAAGAACTAATAACTCTAGGATATGGCTTTACAGCAATCATTATTCTCACATATTATTCTGTGCTGTAATGAAGTAACAGCGAATTCTTACAAAGAGCCTAATGATCCGTTCCGTCAGGGATTTAAGACTGCAGTAACTCCGTCGCAGCAGCTGAAGTAAAGAAAGGCATGCCATCGCATTAGATGAATTTCTGTTTCTTTCTGATGGACTTACATAGTAGCATCTGTGTCTGAGGATATCTTGGAGTAAACATTAGAAAGTTCTGAGCTGCACATTACTGTGGCGTTCTGATAAGGTATAGAATAATAGATAGAATAATAATAGTTCTGATAAGGTATAGAATAATAGATAGAATAATAATAGTTCTGATAAGGTATAGAATAGGCGATAAAGGTATAGAATACCATTTTATTCCCGTTCTGTTCCGAAAAAGTGGATTCTGGGCACGTTGCAAAAACCATTTTTACATCTCTAAAGTGTTAGAGCGTTTTTATAGGGATTTATAAGTCAGTGTGAGGCCGCATGTGGCACTCGACGTTCACCAAATCAAGAATTGCTGTGTGATAACAGTGTTTCTTTCATTTCCTGATCTGCGAAATCCGAGGATGATTAGTCGTTTATTAAGCACATCCAGTACCCAAGGATGATATATTTAGTATATTTATGTTACTTACATTTATTCAATATGTCAAGTCATACAACGATAAGCAATCCACAGACTACATAGAATTGTAGCAAATAAACGTTGGCAATATGCAAAACCATGGTAGAGTTATATGCTCTAAACACAAATTCATTATGTTTATTTTGTTTCACATTGGTGTTATAAACTAAGAAAATTTTGACATTTGTTCTATCACCTTCAGATCTATTGGGCAGATTTTAATGCAATTTAGTAAAGACACACATTCATATAATAAAAAATCAGTAAAACTAGTATGGTATACACGCATGATCGGATGTATGACACATTGGCGAAAGAAGGCCTAAAACAGAGGTTGCAAAATCGAAAAAAAGAGGCTAGTAGGAGAAATGTTCCTCTTTAACAGTTAAAATATAAATTTCCTACTGCAAATGATGCTGAAATTTGGAAAACGTCATCCTGAAAATAAGTTCCTGAAGCAATCGTTTTTATTCCTGTGGCAACGCTATTTTCAGGTTCTTGGAAGAAACAAGCCAAATTACAGATGCCCTGCCAAAAACATTTCTGACTTGATCCATAAGGGTTAAGTGTTGTGTTCTAGCTGGTCAATCGATTTGGCTAATATCCTCACTTTTTACAAACTCATCCACCATATTAACCTCATATGGAAGAGGGTTGTTCATGGAATGTGAGTCTAATGAACCCATGAAAAGACGAACGTCGGGCTATAAGATCTCCTTTTTGTATCAAGCAACAGATCGCGTTCAAGGTTGCAGGAGCTTCACATTCGACAAAGTTCTTATTGTAGAATGGACTGAACATACCAATAATGTGTTGCGTTTTATGCCGACGACGCAAAACTAATTGTGCGTTGTACACACAAAGGCAAAGCAGGAAGCTCCTCCCAGTTATTCAATAATCCTTCCATCACTCTTAAGCTAATTATTTCAGACTCTAAATCATCGGCACTCATTATGTCCAAGAAAAGCAAAATTCTCTATTACAGATCAAGCATTAAATTAAATAGCAAGAGCATAAAAATATTAGAAGAATTAAAGTACTCAGGCTTGACATGGGAATCCGAGAATCACGAGCATCCCAGATATTACTGAGCTCAAATCCCGCACTTTTGCTATAGTCCCATAACAGAAACAATTCCAAGGCATCAACTGCGTTCGCAGTACCCGTATCCAAGAAATTCTGTACATCATAGTGATAGAAAACAAGAATCACATATGTCGTAACCATGTCAACCAGTCTATGCAAAGTCGCAAAATCAAACATCTCTCCAGCCACTAACATCTTTTTACTTTAACGGTCACCAAGGAATGAAGAACTACGGCGACTGCTGACAAAAATTCTAAA